AAAAACTTTGACGGGAGTGCTCAGAGATGATGAGTGGATGTAATAGAAGTCCATTCACCACTTCTTGACATCGGCCGGAGTGAGAACCGCCGTGTAGAACACAGCGCTCAACGTCCACGACGTTCTCGTAAATTCTATGCTACAGAAACCTTTGGAACAAATCGCGTCCTGGACACATCTAGCTAGGTCGGGCCGATGACTATCCCATCGGATGTGCGGATGCGAAAATTGAGCGAGAACAGGTCACCTCTTTCTAAGATCAATGGGTCCATGATGATGAATAGCAGGCCGGGGTTGCTCCGGGCACCAGACTGTACATCTCCCCTGAATAGATCTGTCATTCACGTCTCGGAAAACCATCACCAACTTTCCCTTGCACCGCCTCGTACCACCCCATATGGTTCCCATCAGGCTGTTCCTTCAGATTACCTCTGCCGTTCATTTGTTAACGTTAGAACATGAAAGCTCATCGAGAACCTATGACCCAGATGTCAAGATAAGAAAGAACGAGGAACGCATGGATGATTTGGGGGGGAGGCATGGTCGGCCTTCTTTGCCTCATGTTCGTTTGTTCCTGTTGTGTCATGATTAGCGCAAATTGCTGAGGTAAGAAGATTGACATGTGGCAAGCGCGTGTTGACCGGTTGTGGATCGAGAATATACATAGTCCACTGAGGGACTTCGATACACCATCACCTCGCTTCGTCTTCCCTCGCCTCTCTTCCCTCTACACAATGGGCATTGCTGTTGCGGAATGAATTGCTTTGTGCGTCAGTCGCCTTGTTTCCTTTGCTCTGGTCGTCTATCCTTATGTTCTTTGTCTAATGGTCTTCCTTTCGAACCAGGCTTGACTACAAGTTACTCTCATGGCCCACACCGACAATATGAGGTCTTTCGTCGTCCATATACCATATTCTAACGACAAAGTACATCAGAGTTCCAGTTTTTATCACTCGACGCTACCGTCGACTTCGACGGCCCCATCTGATCTACCTGGATATATTTCTTCTACAGGACCTCGTCGCGAGAATCTTAGCACATCAAACCATTGCAAGTGCGGTCTGACGCAAGGCTCACACGCACCCATCGATTTTCCACCATCACCTCCCCCGACCAACTCTGACCCAAAGCGGAGCGTTCCTCTACCGAGCCTAAACGCCGAAGCAGGACCTTCATCACCCATCTTTCCCCGGTGTAGACATCCTCAGGAGCTCTCTATAGCTAGTGAAACGAAGTGCGTTCCACTACTTAGCTTTCTGGTCCCCATGACACCGCCCCCTACAATCCCGACACCGACCCTGGCTTTGCCACCTGCAGATGCGGACATGGACACGGACTCGGAATTGCCACCAATACCCACTTCGCATGATGGATGGGACGCATCGCTTCTTAGCCTACCCTCAGCGTCAAGTTGCTCGGATCAAGACAGCGGCTTGCTTTCGCCTATCTCTCCGGAATGGACTACAAACGGCATTGTCTACGACATGGCTCCTTCGCTACCTTCAAGTAGTAATACACCCAGTGTGCTATTAGGCGGCAACCATAGTCACCTCTTTTCAGAGCCTGAATCGTTACCTTACTTACAAGAATCGGATGACAATAATACCTCGCCACATTGTCGATCTATATTACCCCATCTTGATATACCCTTCCAATTCTCGCCTGAAAGCACATGGAGCGAGTCGCCGACGTCCTCGGTGGACTTTGACGAAGAGCTGGACATGCTAGCGACACCTAGTACCCCGCCTATGGACATGGATATACCATCGACACCCAGGTCCCTACCTACAAGTCCTTTTTCCGACGAGCTCACATTTACGACAGATGACAAGCTATTCGGGAACGATTTCAGGGATGAAAAGTATCTAAATTTCCTTCAGCCGCCGCTCCACGAGCTGGAGTTTCTCCCAGAGCTCGATGACATCCCGAACTCACCTTCTTCGCCATCTCTACGCTCCTTTTCAACTCTTCCCTCCCTCCATGACGAGGACGAAGACGAGGACGAAGACCCCGATGGCTTGACCTCCCCGCCTTCGCCCGGCGCCACCTTAATCTCCTTACCCGACGCCGATCACGATGACTTCCTCTTCCCATCCGATCCAGACCTACCTTCCGATTTTCCGATCTCACCATTCGGCTCTAGCAGTGGCAGTCTACTTCTCTTAGAGGATGAGACTCTCCCCCGGTCGCCGTCTCCGGAGAACTGCGACGTCGACCCCGCGTCCATCGAAGACAGCACAGATCCGGATATTCGCCGCTTAGGCGAGCTTTGGAGACGATCGCTCAATGCAGAACGGATAGCACGGCAGCTGGAACAGACGTTGCTTGAGCAAGGTGCCGTGCATCAGCGGTGGGAGGCGCGGAGAGCAAGGAAGAAGGAGAAAGAGCGTGGAAGGGAGATTGGTGCGATGTTGAGGTTGAAGATGGCGCAAGAGAAAGGAAAGGAGATGGAGACGTTGAGAGTGGAGGGTGTAGAGATGGAGGAGAGGGAGGAGGAGAGGGCGGTGAAAAAGAAGGGTTCGATAAGCAGCATGGAGCAGCTAGTGGCGAAGATGATGTTGCGGCGGAACGATACGTACCGCTCTCTCGCGAACCGGAAGACACCGCTGACATCCAAGTTCTACACGAGCTCGCCTCTCGTCCGTTATGGCGACTTCGTTGGTATGGACGTCGACGACGAAGGCGAAGACGAGAGCAAGAGTTCGAATCCTTTTCCTTGGACTGGTAATTCTGAATCTGAATCTGGACCACGGACTCTGTCTGCATGGACAACTTTCTTACCTCAATCTTTATCGTCATCTTTCTGATTTGTATTCAATGATTCACCTCCTTGCTTTCCTTCTCAGCATTCATGTATTCAAAATCAAGGCTCCTTGATCTTCACGATTTTTATCGCATGATAGGAGTTTCCCGGTGTTGCGGCGATAGTGATGTGATTAGGATTGTTTTCGTCTTTCGTGACAGTCCAATTTGTACTACCATCGATCATATATAGGAAACATCTGTGTACTACATACATATAAAATATAATATTCATCGTCGACTTGTTGACGCTTCAATCCAGTGCTTTCCCGTTTCGAACCTGTTCAGCTCATGTTCATCGCTTGTGAGTTGAATCAGGCTCGTCTGGCACAGCTAGTAGTGGTACTTGATATTGAAGTTTCAGTTATAAATGCAACCCCGATGGTATGTTTACCAGAGTGTCAGGCTGATAGACACAAGTCTAATACGCAAACAATATATAGAATAGATGTATAAGAATCATGAAGTTAGCCGTTACAAATTGCCAGCGTTATTCCTCGTCACTGACTCGAAGATCCTCCTACCAGCCTCTCCCAGCTGTTGAGCACCCACAGAAACCCGATGAGAAAGTGTCTCCTCTCCCGACGCTGCATAAGGCTGCAGCTCATGCGTCTTCACACCCCGGTGCTTCAACGCATACTCCCTGCACGCTTCCCTACTCTCCTCGAGCTTGGGATCTTCACGATCCCAAGCATAAATCCCGAACCCCGGGAAATTATATTCCAAAAGTTCCTTGAGCTCGGGCAAGAACATCTTATCAGGCGCGTACGTCCCTGAATTGTTATCAATAACAAGTTCCCATTCAACCTCATGATCTTGAATATCGTCGCTGAACGCTGCCCAGCCGCCTTTTGGGCGTGGGTGGAACTCCCCACTGTACCGCACGCTCTCAGCGCAGTTGCTGTGCAGCGCGTGTTTCGACGCAAAGTCGACGAAAAATGCAGCGCCCGTTTCCGAGAACCGGAACGAGTCGTCCTCCGATGAGATAATATACGTGTACACCGCGGGCTTGATGCGGTGCTCGAACTGACTCACACCGGGGCGGGTACTTTTCCCAGCATGTAGGAGCTGCGCGACGTCGGAGAATTCATCGATGACGCCGAAGAGGTTCCGCGCGTTCCGTGCGTAGAGCATTCGATGTCCGGCTTGGATACCTGAACGGACAACGATCGAAGCGGGCCCTTGGAAGATGCTTTGAGCAGCTTTGTAACTGCGATTCCAGCCTTGGTGTTTGTCCCTGAAGAAGAGAGGGACGCCGCGAAGGTACATCTTCCATGTTGAGTAGAGGCGCTCGTCATCGAGATTCGTAAGCATCCCGACAGTTGGGGAGTAATGCCGGGAAAAGCGAATAGGCCCATCGAAGAGATAGGGAAATACGGAAGGATCCTTATCAATTGAAGGAGTACTCTCGATCTTGAAGAAACTGGATTTGAGTAGATGCGGTAGAAAGTATGATAACAGCGTACTTTAAGCCAGAATGTCCCCCTGTCCTTTCTGAAAAGAGGTCCCTGGAGTTCAACCTCCGCGGTGCCATTGTTTATAGAGGTCTTGAATTTTCCAATGTAGTCATCGTGTGGGGCATCATCATCCTTGTCCAGGACTTGAACGTGCAGATCGGCGACCGCTGGGACATTTTTTACTCGCCAGATCTCGTTCCATACTGGAGCCAAAGTATCACCTTTGACAGCAGAGCTAAACCTATGATTTCAACAGAGATAGCAAGAAGAGATGACGCCAAACGCACACATATGTGATTTTCTCGTCAATGTCTGCCACAAAATACGGATCAGCAGAACCGACGACATCCATCTTGGGCAGTCCCGAGGCACCGATAAACTACGTTCGTAGAGAATCAAAAACAAAAAAAAGAAATTTCGAAAATGTAGTCTCTCCCATACTTGTATTTCAAGATCAACAAACGGAATATGACCCAGCTTGGCCTCTGCCAAAGCCTTTGTCACTTGTGCGACTTCCTTTGCGTTTGATTTGGCATGTTCGAGAGCGTCAACGATTCTTGTTACACTGAATGGATTGCGACGACCACCCGGCATCTTGGGGGCGAACGGTGTACAGGAAGAGGTCCGAAGTGTTAGATTGCGCGGCAATGGGTCGCCATGGGCTGATGCAGATGACCGAACTGTCTGTGGCTATACATATTGACTACATGGGCTAAAAATAGAATATCCCTCATCCATGCATCACCGAGACAGGGGTCAAACCTGCAATCTCCTGATGACGGGATCATTTGTCGTATGTGGTTAGACGCGTTGCCATTACGCCACACAGCCAGAGAGAGATTTACAAGGAGGGGCCAAGAATTTCAGCGTTTGCCGAAAGCCGGGAACCTCCAATCGAATATCAGCTACATATTCGCGATGAACCATAATTAAGTATCGGCTGTTATAGAATGTGCTACCAGAGACTGATGAACCGTGCTGCGTCTCAGAAACTTATGGGTGAATACGTGCTTCCTCGAAGGAAAAAAGGAGTTCAGATTTCTCCTTTCATCCGGTCGCTTGAGACGTTTCAACAGTTTGACGATGGAGAAGGCCTCAAATCAGCAACCTAGGAGTTTCTGAGACTTTTAACTTGCTGAAATAGCGCTTCAGCTAAAAAGCCAACACTGTCTCTTTGCCTCCTTCCAGCCAGCTGGAGGTCAGCCTGCCAAATATGATGGGAACCGCAGAAACGGACGCAGCATACTTTGGGATACAATCCATCCCCGCTGCGGTTGTCTTCGCCGCTCTATACCTTCTTTTATTCCCATGGTTTATTTTTCAATCATTTAGGGAGCGAAGCCATGTATACTATTCCCTCACGTTCTTCTGTGCAGGTAACTTTTATCCTCCCATCTAGATGCGAACTCAAAAAAATGACTTGTTCTCAATTTCAGTCCGTCTTACTTCCTTCATCCTTCGTGCTATTTTGGCAGGGCCCAGCGGGAACAACGTCAATCTACTGATAGGAGCCGAAGTCCTTTTCACGATTGGTTTCTTTTCGCTTATTTATTCTACCTATCGTCTTATACTTGACCGGTATGCATTCCGATTTCTTGGGCACTATAGCTATCTAACATTTGAAATTCAGGGAGTTGCTCTTGGAGTATATCTCGACGAGTATCATTTCGCGTGTCATCCGGCGTCGTTACCTCTTTCACTTTGCACTCCTCGCTGCGATCGTCATGGGGAGTGTCGGTATCTCTGACATCAATTCCTCCAATGATCCAAATACCATCTCAAACGGGAAATCTCTGCATTTGGCGAGCACGATTATCTTCCTTGTTCTATCTGTCCTCGTGGTGTATCAAGCTCTCATCGTTGCCAAGAACGAGCTTCGTTGTATGTCCCTTGATTTTCTTCCTTCTCAAACACTCATGCCATATAACTGATGCTCATTGTTGTAGATGGGGCTCACAAGCTAGGAAAAGGGACATTTGGTCGTTTCCAACCCTGGATCCTACTTTTAATCTCGCTCCTTCTGTTGGTTCGCGAGGGGTTTGCGATGGCCACCGTGAACGATTTTCAAAAGGCGACTAACGAACGCCTATGGTATCCTCTGATTGCGATGCCGGAGATCCTGGCTGTGGCATTGTTCAGTATACCCGGTCTTGTCCCTGGCAGGTGTGAGCTTCCAACGCACCCTAAGACGCCACAGCCAACTATGAAGGTATCTCGTTTCGTTGAAATATTTCACGAGGGGAAAAATTGATTTCTAGGCCTGATCATAGTGATACCATGGCCTCTTCGTCTACAGTAGACATCCTTTCATCTTGAAAATGCATTGTAAATCATAAATTTTGTACCTCAGAGTCACTGCATCATTCTGATATAAGTAATATATTGTTAACGACAGTTCCGAAGGCCCCCCACATGAACCAATTGTGAGAATCCTAAGGATGATCTGCTGAGGTCCTGCCGAACTGTAGATCCTTACCGATCGAAGAAATTATTCAAGTAAACCTAGTGATGGGGCACGGACGTTTGGGTTCGAAGCGGTGGTCACGGGCCATTAGACTGAGTCCCAAACTACTTAGTAGTTACTGTGACGGCTCGGCAGTTCCCATTTCCCTTCTCTGGCTCCAATGGCAGCTCTTGGGAATGTCAGACATCATCTCCACTCGGTTGCTATATAATTACTTACTTAGCTTGCAGACTTGAGGGATCTCTGAGTCGGGAAGGGCTAGGTAAGACGGACACGGCGGAAATCGATCATATGCATGGAGCAGAAGCGGACCCTTCTCAAATGCTGCTCAATCCGTCTCGTGGCTAAGGCTTCAAAACTGGTTGCCTCAAAGCGCCTTCATGATATCTTGTACTACATACAGACATTGGTATGACATTTACTATTGTGGTTGTCTAGCTTCAGATAAGTTTACCTCTTTACTCGATTGGGGAAAAACTTCAGACTGACCCGTCGACTACTTATAGTTGTAGTACATTACAGCTTGACTCAACCGCAGTGCCCGCTTGATTCGACCATTTTCCCTGATAGTCAGTGATAGATGCTGACATCACGGTCCCGTTTCCAAAGCGCTCTGGTACAATGACAGTCAAAACGAGCAACGCCTCATCGAAAGAAGCGTGCTACAGAAATGGCCACGGTTTTCCAGTAATGACCACGGTATTCCGATTTCCTTCTAGGAGGTGTGTCCAGCAGAATCCACTCCATCCCAGTCACCTCCCTACTTCCAAGCTAGTGAGGGTTTGATCATTGTTCTCGTTAACAGAGGCAGAAATGATGAACCCTCATTGCCACGTACGTTCTTTTAGATTATTCTGTTTGATGAACGGCAATGAGCAGTCAATCTGGCTTCGAATCAAACGCATCGAAACCTAAACCTAATCACACATGCCTGCCGCATTCAATTTGTATGGCCGAGATTTTGGCCGAGACGAATCTATTGCGCAGTAGTGTCACCTGAGAGAAGGAGTGCTGTGCAAATCATGCTTAAGGTGATAGAAGGAGGTCCGCAGTTAACTTCTCCTGCTGTTCGCACATTGAACCGTGTCATATGGCACCAAATACCCTCTGCTGTGTGTCTATTTGGTGCCCGTAGAGATGTCTTTACGTTATTTCTATTGTCAATCAAGTTCTCTGTGCAACGATACACCTCGTGGTCACTGCCTTTAGAGTGGGCGATGCTCACAGGGCACGGCCCGGTGCGCAAGGAGAAGACAAGTGGTCGCAACTTTCGATCAGTCATATGCTTACCGCAATATGCCGAATGCCCACAATAAGAGCCACCAGGGAAAGTTCAGCGGGGTTTCGTCTCCGTATATTTTCTCCCTTACTTCTAAGATATCTGCAGCGAAGTCCAGTATGGCCCCTCGACGCGCATCACCCCACGGTGGCCCCAGGGGAAGTCCTCAGCCTTCTCGTGGAGCCTCCCGCGGTCGCGATGCGAAGCGTGGGGACATTCAAGCCGGGGTTACCCCCGTTGGCCTTGCAGGCAGTTGTGAGTTCACATTGTTGTAGATCTCACTCTGATACCACAATACATTCTTTTCAAGCCCATCTAAGGACTGTTGGCGTGAGGCGACCAGGATATGGCGCGGCTGGAAGATCACTAGCTATTGTCACCAATAGCTTTGTAACAACTATCCCTGATACGATTATAAGACATTACGATGGTATGTTTAGGTTAGATTTAAACGCTGTCAACTGTCCCTCATTCTTATATTTCAGTTGGTATGCATACTCAATCGATCTCACATTATCAACGTGACGTGACGTTGACATCCCTAGACTTTTCGTCCGACCTTCATCCTCGGATCAGAAGACTGCTTCTGAAGAAACTCGAAAAAGAGGTTGCACCTAATATTTTCAAGATCAAGACTGTCTTCGATGGCCGCAAGAATTTGTTCGCCTCGTATGAACTCGAGCTCGGGGCGTCAAAGTCTCGACAGGTAAAGAGTTAAATGACCTTGTGTTATATCTAAAACCTTACCCCATCGAAGTTCGATGTTGTTCTTGCACCTCGGACCACAGAGAGTGATCGACCTCCAAAAGTTTACAAAGTCAAGATTACGAAGGTGAACCAAATCAATCCCGAGTGAGTCCCTGAAAACACCTGGCATCCGTTAGACTTGATTAATCTCCCGCCAGAGTACTCCAAGCGTACGTCAATGGACGATACTCGATCGATGAGGAGGTCCTCACTGCTATTATGGTAAGTCTGCAATTGATAATGATCCGACATTTCTACCTAATACGAACATCCTAGGCACTCAACGTAGTTGTTCGTATGGATCCTAGCGAAAAGTATCCGTTTAACGTTAGGTCATTCTTCACGGATAAGGAGACGAGGGACATCGGGTCCGGCATCGTCCTCTGGAGAGGGTTCTTTCAGTCTGTTCGTCCAGGCATTGGCCGAATGCTCATCAACGTCGACATCTCAACGGGAACGATGTACAAACCGGGTAACTTGATTAACCTTTGTCTTGAGTTTTTCGGCAAACAGAACCCGAATGTACTCGCTCCCGCACAGGGTCTGCCGGATCGCGAACGATTGCGACTACAGCGTTTCCTAAGTGGCCTCAAAGTCACTACCCAACATACTGAAAAGACCAGACCTAATGCCCCAGCTCGAGTCATTAAGAAGCTTTCCAACGCTGGGGCAGATGCTCTTCGCTTCAACTTGAATGGCAGAATGGTAACTGTCGCCGAGTATTTCAGGACTCAGCAGAATCGTTCGCTGAGGTTCCCTGCAAACCTTTGCGTTGAGGTTTGGCATTCAAAGATTTTTGCACAGAACCACCACTCATCATGATTAGGTCGGGTCCGGGGCTCTCCTTCCCCTTGAGTTGTGTCATGTTCCACCTGGACAAATCATGAAGATGCAAATTCCGCCGGAGAAGACAAAGGATATGGTCGAATTCTCGTCTATGAAACCTCAAGAACGCTTCAATAGCATTTTAAACGGTCTGAACACGGTAAGCTTCGCCATTAGCACGATCCAAGTTGGCTTACCTACGTCATTTTGTGCAGGTGTTGTCATATGGCCAATCTGAGTATGTTCGCGACTTCGGGATGTCTGTCGAAACTGCCTCAGGGCCCCTTTCTATCACGGCGCGAGTGCTCCAGCCCCCAAATCTTAAGTACGGGCAAGGTAGCAAACAGCCGACAATAGTATGCGTTTTTTCTCCCCCCTTTGAACGCGCTCTTCTGACTGAAATGAAGCGACCAAGAGATGGTGCATGGAACATGTGAGTGACGGCCTGTACATTCAAAGTTGATCCTGCTTCATGCTTTCATCAGGATGGACAAGAAGTTCTACAAGCCTGCAGAC